GCCTTTTGATTTTCAACATTTTAGACTAAATAGTTGAGTAATACTTTTGCTCTGCTCTCCCCAACTCTTTCTTCCTTTCCCTTAAGAAAACTCCCTCTTTATTGTTAGCAAGACATCTTGGGGAGCAGCCAGAAAGTCGCCGTCTCTTTCTGTGAGGGAACAGACCCAGCCAGCTTTGGGCAGGAGGTTGTGTCAGAGAGAGCTTGGCTTGGGGATGCCCTGGAGTTGGCTGCTGAATTCCCAGGTTGGAAGTGTTGGCTGGAGGGCTCAGACCCTTTACCAGCCATTGGGGTGGGCTGCAAGCCTGGATTTTGTGTCATAAGATCCTGCTGATAATGTGTGGGACCTGCTTTTAAACTGGCACCTTGCTGTGGCTCTTTCCTCACTCTCACAGATCCCCTGACCCAAATTCCAGCATGGGGCCAGCAGTTGGTGTTGAACTTGCAGCATCCCTGAGGCTGCAGCTGCTTGTGTATCTGATAACGTGCAAGTCAGATATTTTGCTCCACTAAACTGATGTTTTGTTGTTCCATGACTCACAGCTTTTCCTTTGCTGTTGATGATTTCCCCCTATTTCAATCTTTGGCTTTTTCTCATTCTGTCCTGGCCACAACCAGCCAGGACAACAAGGTCACAGATCCTTGTCCCTCTCCTCTGCTATGTGGCCTCAGCTCCTCTGCCTGACCAGGGCTGAAATGAAAGAATTTTGAGTTTTATGTGGCCTCATCTTTGTCAAATCCCAGTGAATGTGGTTACATGATGCCATCAGAATGACTCATTCCCATAATTACATATGTTCTGAGGGGTTATTCCCATTGTATTATTAAAAACTAGTGATGTTGGATTTTTGGCAGGGCTTGTCTTCCTCGTATGATCCACAGATTTTGTCAATTAACTGAAGGAAAAGTAGATTTCCAAGAGTTCAGAACAAGACCAGACTTGCACTCAGAGCCCCTTTTCAGTTTCATTAACAGGATAAAGCAGCCTCAGCCATCTCCCTCTATTGCAGCAGTTCCTTGCAGAGCACAAGTGGATTTTGTAGCTCCTCTTCAAAATCACAGCAGAAGATCAGAATCAGAAATTTATCACCACAGCAGCTTTTCCAGCTCAGTTCCTCAGGCTTGGCTTCCCCAGGATACAGGAGCAGGAGGGCTCCTGGGCAAAAGGCTCCAGGTGGGACAGCAAAGACAGAGTGATCCTGGATTGTTGCTTTGAATATGGAGTTCCCAAAATGGTGATTGAAGGAGGAGAAACTGAAGTCAAGGAAAAGGCAGAGAGGTGTAAGAGAGCTTTGAAAGCCAGGAAAAGTAAATTCTGGGCTCCTCCGTGGCCCTGTCAGTGCTCTAAACCAGCATTTCACCTCAGGCTGGAAATTACAATATACCACCTACCTGGCTGCCTCTCTCTTCCTGTTCTTCAGAAATCCTGGAAATTCCAGCAAGCAGCTCCATCCAACTTTGGTTTGGCATTCAGTTGGGTGTGATGTATTACTGAGTACATAAATGCCATCAGGGTGATTTATTGATGGTGGCTAATTAAATACTCTGGTATTTCTGTACTTTTAATATAGATTTTTAAAATGTGATGCCTATCATGTCTGTCTGTGAAGTCTATTGACTTCATAAAATCTGTAAATATATATCTGAATTATCCCTTTTAGTGTTCTCAGACAATGTAATCCAAACCATAATTTTAGAGATAACCTTTTTCTCACTATCCTACTTTGTTTCCTTTAATCAAAGCTAAGATTTCTCCTGAGTGAGAAATCATTTAAACATAAACATGGGCTAAGGAGTATATATACATTACCTCCACCTCTCTGGGGGTGGAAAGTCAGTGAATTACTGTGTGAGGAGTCTGTGTGCACACAGTTCATTGACTGTAGATGATGAAAAATACAGATTTATATTACCCAGAGAGGGTTAAGAATGTGATAGAACCAACATTTCTTTGGTGACATTCATCTTCTTTAGGTTCCAAATCTCAGCAAATAATTGAGAAATGAAACAGCTCCAAACCCACAACTGCAAGCTGCCCATTATTGTTCCCCCCATGGCATGGGATGCATTGCTCAAAATCTGAGGAGACAGACTGGAAACCATCCTGCAGATTCTGAGTTAATGGAATTCTGTCCAGCAAATAACACCAGGGAAAATGAAGCTGTTCCCTGTGCAGTGGAGCTCCTGACAAAGCATGTCTGTCTGTCTGTCTGTGCATCCAGCAGCTGCTGCTCCAGTCCAGCACCAAGCTGACCAAAGCAGAGGGTGGGAATAGGTGCAGGAGCTGGAGCAGTGACTTTTCCAGCCATGATCCACGTGGTCCTTTGGCTCTCAGGAGAGGCTCCTGTATCTGTGGATATTTTTGAATCAGTTGGGTTTGACTCCAGTTTTGGTGAATAAACAAATGAAGCTGGTTCAGCAAACCCATTTATTGATTTATTTGTTTAAAGACATGTATTTTACAGTGATGCCAAGGAGACAACACCACAACAGGGTCATTTAGTGCATGGAAAGAGAGCGTTCACATGTGTGTGAGTTGAGGTGACATCACCCAGCTAAGGACATCTCAGCTTGGACTGGGGAGCTCAGTGTGCAGTTCATGTTGGTCAAAGGCAAAATGTTCCTAAATTCATAACTGAACCAGCTCTCTGGAAGTGGGAATAAGCACTATTCTTGAGCTGACTCAAAAAAAAAAAGAAAATAAGTTTGATTTATTTTTTAATATTTTTTCTCCTAATTGTTCTAAAACAATTTAATTTTAAAATCACCCCTACTGAAAAATCTTGGATATTCTTAATATTCATCTTAAACTTCCTGTTGCCTTTGTCCCTTTTTCTTCCCATTTTGCTCTGAAAAAAGGAAGAAAGTAGGGGAAAGGCTACAACAGAAAGAAGTTTGTCAGATTTTCTAATAATCCCTAGAGTTCTCTAAAATAGGTTCTGTTGATTTATTACATGCAGTTTAGTTTTGAAATAGTTGTGCTAATAGTGCCAGGAGTTACTGTAGGGAATCAAGTCATTACCAGAGCCTCATGTAGGAAACTTTCCTAATGCATTTTCTTTTCCTTAATCCTCACTGAGAGCTCGCTGGGGACGTGGCTCCAGGAGGGAGCTGAGCTTCACCAGTGGGTGCTGCTAAAACTGGAAGGGAAAATGGTTCTGCTGACAAGCAAAAATACTTCTCTCACAGGCTAGAAAATAGAGCAAGGTTGGATCATTGAGCTGGGAAGCTTTCAGAAATCATATGAACATGATCCATAAACAACTTCAAGGATGACTTTTAAGAACCTCTTTCTCCCCCCTGCTTGGTATGCTGGTCGTTTATCATTGTGCTGAAATGGAATCCCCTTTCAAAGATGGAACTGCTTCTTGTTTACTTAAACACAAAGTGGACGAGAGGCTGAAAGGTTTTTCTGCCAGCAGAGCAGTCAGGGAGAGCTTGGTACAGCTCTGGAGCCCAAACAATGTGCAGCCTCCACGTCCTGCCCTGAGCCAAGGCAGCCCTGGGGTGAAGGGAGTTGGGGTGTCCTGGGCAGAGCTGAGTCCTCAGTGAGCACCAGGAGAGAACTTGGGCTGGAGGTGTGGGCAGGAGACCCTCAGAGGGACAGGAGCTCTCTCTTGCACCCCTGTTGGCTCCAAACCACAGAGCAGAGATGGGATGGAAGCAGTACAGCCAAGATTGGATTCACCAGGGTTAATCTGGGTGAGTTTCCCCTGCCCCTCTGGTGCTATGGAAGCAGTACAGCCAAGATTGGATTCACCAGGGTTAATCTGGGTGAGTTTCCCCTGCCCCTCTGGTGCTATGGAAGCAGTACAGCCAAGATTGGATTCACCAGGGTTAATCTGGGTGAGTTTCCCCTGCCCCTCTGGTGCTATGGAAGCAGTACAGCCAAGATTGGATTCACCAGGGTTAGTCTGGGGGAGTTTCCCCTGCCCCTCTGGTGCTATGGAAGCAGCACAGCCAAGATTGGATTCACCAGGGTTAATCTGGGTGAGTTTCCCCTGCCCCTCTGGTGCTATGGAAGCAGCACAGCCAAGATTGGATTCACCAGGGTTAATCTGGGTGAGTTTCCCCTGCCCTTTGCCCTACCAGGGGAGTGGAGCTCCAGCAGCACGTCCCTGATCCACCCTGAGAGCCATGGCACATCCTTGGGAGCAGAGAGCTTCTGCTGAACTCTAGAGAAATGAAATGTGTCTCTATGTATTTATACAGAGAAATCACATTTTAAAACCCCAGGGCAGGGAGGGGGAGCCCCCCTGTGACCCTGCCCTGAGCAGAGCAGGCAGCAAAGCCACACAGGGCTCACCAGTCCTTGTCCCAGTTCCTCTGCTCAGCTGGCAGCTCTGGCAGAGCAGGAGAATCCAGGGAATTCCAGCACACAGGTAGTTTCTACCCAATTCAAAAATTTGTTTTTCTCTCCTGCAGGACCTGAGCTGTGCCTTCCCCTCCCTCCTGCCACACACTGGGGTGACACCAGCTGTCCCCAGCCCAGGATTGTCCCACAGCTGGGACTGGCTGAGCAGAGTCACAATGTGCTTTTCTGCACAATGTGCTTTTCTGCACATAGGACTTCCATTGATTTCTACAGGAATTGTGTGTGTGTGAAACAAGTGCAGAATGTGTAATGGAAATCTGCAGTGCAGATAAAAAGGAGGTAAAAAATGCACATGTATGGATCCACTGCCCATGGGTGCTGGAGCAGACCCCAGTCACAGTCTGTATGCATTCAAAAAAATGTTTCAGCAACCTGTGGTTTGTTGGAACCTCTCATTTTCTCAATCTGCTGTGTGTTAAGTGGATCCTTCAGTGGGGAGCTCCTCGGGGCTCAGGTCCCTCTTGCAGAATGGCTGATTTGTGCTGGCAGCATTTCCTGGGATTTTCTTAAAGCTTTGGTGAGTTTCCCTTCCACAAGTGAGTCTCTGTCCTGTGGGACACCAGCCTCCATAGGGGCCAAGGTATGAACCACACACTCAGGAAGCTGGTTGTCATTTTGATTTTGAGTTTTGTTTTTTTAATTTGAAATAATTCTTTGAAGCAGATTCAGGGCAGATACCACTGACCTCTTACCACAAACACATATTTGCAATGATAAAGTCATACAGCTTAAAACACAAAATAAGGGGTAAGGGAAGAGAAAGAGGCCCCTGCTGTGTGTGTCTGGGGGGTTCAGTCTCATCCCCTGGCTGAGTGGGGCTGTGTGCTTGGGCTCCATTTGAGGCCTTGATCATGAAATCAATCCCATGTCTGGGTCCTTCAGTGGCTCATGCTCCACCTCTCCTCCCTGCAGTGTCCCCACAGAGCCCTGGGGACGCTGTGGCTTTGCTCCCACTCCTCAGCAGCGTTCTCCCACTGCTCTGGGCAGGGTGTGTGTGTGCAGCCTCCTTCAGGGTGTGTGTGTGGCCTCTGTCAGTCCGTGGGTCAGTCTGGAGTATATGTCTGTCTCTGGACACGTTACATGGTGTAGCAGTGCTCTGTTCAATAAAGCTTTCATATACATAGCAGCAATGGAGTCTTGCCATCCATGACACGCTGCCAGCTACTGGGCAGGGCTGGCGGGTGTTGCGGGCACCGTGGCCCCTCTCTGTTTGTTCTTCCTCTTCTTGGTGCCAGACTTTGTGTCTTTGGTGTCTTTCCGATTTCTGTTCCCATTGTCTTGCTTTCCTTGCTCTTCCTTTTTCTTCCTTTTCCCTGCAGTGAAGCAAAGGGGCAGCATGAGGTGGAGTGAGGGGAACAGATTGGTGCTGTCCCCTTCACCCTGTCCCCCTGGTTAATTCCTGTGCATTTAATCACTGCTCAGAGCCCTTTCCCCTCAGAACACTCAGCACAGCTGCAATCCTGGTCCATTCTGTAACAAAACAACCAAACCACCATTCATCCTGAAGGCTCTAATTCCTGGGAAAAACAGATCTATTCTGGTAGAGAGCTCCCATCATGGCAGCACACAGGCATGCACCCCTGGCTGCTCTCTGGCCAGGGAAGAAACTAAAATGGGGGGTTTTTTGCCATGGGTTGGACTTGATGATCTTGAAGGTCTCTTCCATCCTTGCCATTCTGTGAATTCTGTAAAATAGGTGAAACATGTGGCACACAACAAGCTGTGCCAAAAATCACCTCCCTGGAGGCTGTGCAGGCCTGGCTGCTCTCTGGCCAGGAAAGAAACTAAAATGGAGTTTTTTTGGCATGGGTTGGACTGGATCTTGAAGGTCTCTTCCATTCTTGCCATTCTGTGAATTCTCTAAAATAGCTGAAACCTGTGGCACACAACAAGCTGTGCCAAGGATCACCCCCCTGGAGGCTGTGCAGGCATTCTGAGTTAATGGAATTAACAGACATGCACCCTGGCTGCTCTCTGGCCAGGGAAGAAACTAAAATGGTTGTTTTTGTTTTTGTTTTTTTTTTGGCATGGGTTGGACTCAATGATCTTGAAGGTCTCTTCCATCCTTGCCCTTCTGTGAATTCTGTAAAATAGCTGAAACCTGTGGCACACAACAAACTGTGCCAAAAATCACCCCCCTGGGACTGTGCCCCTTCCACCTGCAGCTCCTCCAGGTGCCATCCCATCCCCATCCCCTGCTCTTCAGAGGAGTCAGGAGCTGCACAGCACATTGTGACACTGTTCAATTGGCTGACTGCCTGTCCCCGAGCTCCCTGGGCTGTGGGCAGGGATGGGAGCCCCACAGCTCTGCTCACCTTCGGGGCACTGGCTCTTCTGCACCGTGCAGCGCCGCACCTCCGTGGTGGCCGGGCACAGGGACACGTCCCCAGAGGGCGCCTGCAGGATCCGCCGGGTCCGGTCCTCGTTGCCCTTCTTGAAGCCACAGAGCTTCCTTTTCTTGGAGCAGGGCCCCCACGGACCCCACTCACTCATTTCACATTGTGCTGCAGAGAACGAGAGAGCCCGGCTGTAAGTCCTGCTCCAGGCCACCCCAGAGCCCACCTCTCCCCCACCTCAGGCTGCAAGGGAGTCTGTGCTTTCCCAGCAGGTTCCTAAGTCCCTGAGCACCCCTTTGAGTCTATGCTTCCCAAGTCTCTGAGCACCCCTTTGAGTCTGTGCTTCCCCAGCAGGTTCCTAAATCCCTGAGCACCCCTTCAAGTCTGTGCTTCCTAAGTCCCTGAGCACCCCTTTGAGTCTGTGGTTCCCCAGCAGGTTCCTAAATCCCTGAGCACCCCTTCAAGTCTGTATTTCCCCAGCAGGTTCCTAAATCCCTGAGCACCCCCTCAAGTCTGTACTTCCCCAGCAGGTTCCTAAATCCCTGAGCACTCCGAGTCTGTGCTTCCCAAGTCCCTGAGCACCCCTTTGAGTCTGTGCTTTCCCAGCAGGTTCCTAAATCCCCTGAGCACCCCTGGCTGCTTACCAGGACTGCTGCACTCCATGGTGCCGTTGGCAGCAGCGTAGCCTTCGGGGCACGTCACGTAACATCTCCCTTTGTGCAAATACAAACCTTCCTTACATTTTGTGCAAAAGTTTCGACTGAAACACGACTCACAGTTCTCAATTTTGCATTCTGGGGGGAGGAAAAAAATAAAAAAAAAAAAATCACCAAAGCCATCATGTAGTTTGATGTGAGCAGAAGGGTCAAGAAGCTCCACACTGCCAAGCCAGGTCTCTGAGCATCCTGTGCCACTCAGGAGTTCAGGAGTGAGTTTTCTTTGCCCCATTCCCTGTGCAGGACAGCCCTGTGCTGCAGCTCTCATAGCCAGGCCAGGATCAGGCAGGGTGGGAAGGTTTTAGGCTGGGGTTCAGCTGAGATCAGTCAGCCAAAGGGGAGGGTGCAAAGGATCCATCCCTGGCTCCAGCTGCAGCTGCAGGACAGGCTGCATGGAAAGGGAGCTGCATGGAAAGCTGGCTGTGAGGGTGCTGTGCATGGACCTGCCAGGGCAGTGATCCCATGTCTCATGTCCAGCTCTTTCTGGTGCTCTGGCTACAAGATTCAAGTCAGGAATTTCACTCAGAGCTGCCTGAGTCTGGCGAGCAGTAGAGCAGGAAAAGAGGCACTGAGTGCCTGAAAGGATCTCCCTCCTCCCAAAGGCTGCCAGTTTGGCAACCCACGTAACAAAACTGCCCAGAGGTCCTGCAAGATCCCACATCCACGGCATGGCTGTGCAGTGCTGAGCTGGGCTGTTCTCAGGCTGTCATGCTCAGCCCTGCCTCACCCCTTCCCCAGAGCCACAGTGTTGTGCTGTGATTACAGGGTTTACCCCAGAACCTCGGGTCCCTCCCCTGATATTTCCCTCCCAGGTGTGTCAGTCACCTCTCCTTTCCCCTCCCAGCACTGTCTGTCACTCCTGGCATTCCAGAAGGGCATCGAGTGATTGGCAGATCCAAAGGATGCCCTCTACCCCTGGGGGCATTGGGCCATCCAGGTGTCCTTTGTCCCTTTGTCCCTCCCCTCCTGTCCCTGCTTGGTGGCTCCCTGCCCCTTCCCTGCCCCTCTCCCCGGGGTTCAAAGGAACAGCAACCACGGGCTCAGGGAGTTCTGTTGGAGCTGCTGCTGCATTCAGAGGCCTGTGGGCCAGAATAAAGCTCTGCATCCAAACCCTCCATCAGAACCCACTCCTTTCCTTCACCATCGCCTTAAAGCTTCTCTGCCAGAGGGAAACCTGAGGAGCAGCCCCTGTTATGGGGGGAAGCTCCATCCCAGCACCACCAGATCTCCTGCAGGCCTGGACTTGTCCCCACGGGCCCAGCTGCAGCACCCAGCCAGCCCAAAGTGTCTGTGGGGTGAAACACCACACACCCAGCCAGCCCAAAGTGTCTGTGGGGTGAAACACCACACACCCAGCCGGCCAAAAGTGTCTGTGGGGTGAAACACCATACAGGCCCACAGGCCTCTGAACCAAATAGTGCCACTGGTTCAGCAGCAAGGCCAGACGAGCTCAGGCACGTCCTGTCCAGCAATATTGGTAAATATTCCAATAACACAGCAGCTCCTGCCCTGCCCATAGCCTCCCCCAGCCCCACACTCACTGATGCACTTGTTCATGTCCGTGTTGCGAAGGCCGAAGTAGCCCAGGGGACAGGAGGGCAGGCAAATCCCGATCTGCCGGATGTCATTGCGCTCCAGGAGGATGAAGAGTTTGGGGGAGCACCTCAGGCACCCATTGAACTCGGAGCACAGGTCACAGCCCCTGGCACAGCCCTGGCTCAGCTCCGTGCTGACTGCAAGAGCAGCAGAGGGGCAGTGGTTAGTGCTGGGCTCTGCAGCACCAGCTGTGCCCACAAACCACTGGCACCAGTGGAGGGCAGGAACTGGGGCACAGCAAGCCTCCTGCAGCACTGGCACACTGGTAAGGGATGCCACAGAGCCAGAGCTGTGCCAAGGACAGGCACAAGGGTCACAACATGGCTGTGCTGAGGAGCAGGACCCTGAAACAGCCAGAAATGTGCCCAGGGACCCAGCACTGCCCATCCCAGCTCTGAAACAGCCCCAGCTGTGCCCAGGGAGCCACCCCAGCCCTGAAACACCCACCAACTCTGCCCAGGACCCAGCACTGCCCACCCCAGCCCTGAAACACCCACCAACTCTGCCCAGGACCCAGCACTGCCCACCTCAACCCTGAAACACCCACCAACTCTGCCCAGGACCCAGCACTGCCCACCCCAGCCCTGAAACAGCCCCAGCTGTGCCCAGGACCCAGCACTGTCCACCCCAGCCCTCTGCCTCCCATCCTTGGTGCCCATTGGGGCACACACTAACATGGGCATGGCCCAAGGGGTCCAGCACCTCCTGCTGCCTCCCCTGCAGTGCCTCCATGCTGAGCAGCAGAGTTCATGGCCCTGGAGCAAAACTGTTCCATTAATTCTGTCCCAGGCTGGATCTTTCCCTGACCCTGCCTACATTAAATTCTCTCTGGCAGTCAGGAGGTGTCACTGCCCCCAAAATAGAGATGTGTTCTCAGCTCCTACATTCAGTCCAAGAAAAATACTCAATCCCATGTCTTGAGAGTTTTCTGCTTTCAATTATCATATAAAATGCTGCTTGTTTTGAAACCAATCACATTCTTTGCAGACTAGAATGCAGGTTATTTTTATTAGTTTATTATGCAAGCCATGTCCTTGTTTATAGAAAAGCTGTGTATTTAAAAGATGTATTCTTTTAAATACCATGTTTACTACACTTCAAAAGCAAGCACAGAGCAGCACAGCGCTCAAGTGCCAGGACGAGAGGTGAGAGAGCTGCTCTGTCCCTCACCATGACCCAAGAGCTGCTCTGTCCCTCACCATGACCCAAGAGCTGCTCTGTCCCATCACCATGACCAAGAGCTGCCCTGTCCCCCTGCCATGACCCAAGAGCTGCCCTGTCCCCCTGCCATGACCCAAGAGCTGCTCTGTCCCCTCACCATGACCCAAGAGCTGCTCTGTCCCTCTGGCATGGTCCAAGAGCTGTTCTGTCCCCTCACCATGACCCAAGAGCTGCTCTGTCCCTCTGGCATGGTCCAAGAGCTGCTCTGTCCCCTCACCATGACCAAGAGCTGCTCTGTCCCCTCACCATGACCCAAGAGCTGCTCTGTCCCTCTGGCATGGTCCAAGAGCTGCTCTGTCCCCTCACCATGACCAAGAGCTGCTCTGTCCCCTCACCATGACCCAAGAGCTGCTCTGTCCCTGTGCCATGACCCAAGAGCTGCTCTGTTCCCCTGTCATGACTCAAGAACTGCTCTATCCCCCTGCCATGGCCCAAGAGCTGCTCTGTCCCCTCCCCATGACCTGCCAGCCCCTGCTGCCTGTCCCAGCCCCATTTCCAGGCCTGTGGCTGCTTCAGCCTTGGAAAAAGACACCAAAGGCAGGGGGGTCCTCAGCCCCCAGCTGCCAGGAGGGTCCCCTGGTCTGGATTGGGACCCCCAGGGATCAGCCCCATCCCTCCTGCAGCACTGGACTCTGGTGCCAAGCTCTGTCTCCATGGCAAAGGTATAAACTGGGCTCCCTCTGGGAATTGCCCTTTATAGAATTAGCCATGATGTCAGGTTTTCCTTGTTCTCCCAGGGCTCGGCAGTCCCAGTTTTAATATAAAATCAATTTTCTATAATTTAATTTAAACCGGTTTTAATGTAAAACAGCTCTAGCATGAGCTTACATAAAGGAGGGCAGTTGGCTGCTCTGGTGCCAATTCTGCCCTGCACGAGCCCCTCCAGGGACCCTCTGGGCTGGAGGCAGAACTGACCCCCCCATGGCCTCAGGGATGTTGGGAAGGATGAAAGCTTGACAAGAAAGTCTCACAGATATGTGTGCTTGGCAGAAAGATTTTTAAATGTAGAGTCTGATGAAGGAATAGAGATGGAAGCAAGTTTTGATATAGAAGAATTGCTGAGCCAGTCTTACTGAATCACCAAGGAGGCAAAGGGTGTGTTAGTTAGAAGGGGTTTTATGGCTTAGAGCAAAGGATAAACCCACCCCAAACAAAAAGATGTTTTTACCAAGCAGAAAGCACAGGCAGACAAAATTGCCAATGTTGCAAGTAGAAAAATGGTCTCAGAATTTTCTACTGCAAGAAAACTGAAAACCAACTTCTAGCTTAAACTGTAATGTGCTAACTTTTATTGATTGGAGAACAGTAACATGAATATGGTAATTACCAGTAGTTATGATGGGCTATAGATAATAGTTAAGGTATGGATTGGTTCTGCTGTATTGAGATGCTCAGCAAAGAAAAGTATAGAATGGATTGTGACCTAAAGAAAAGTACAGAATGTATTGCAACCTAACCTCAAGGTCTCCAGGCCTGCCTGCAGCTGGAGCTGACAGCTGTGGGCACAGCTCTGTCACCCACAACCCGGGACTGCTGTAACCTCTTGAATACAATAAACTGCATTTTGGAGAGCAGCCTGGAGTCCCACATCCTTCATTTCAGCTCTTACAGCAGGGGACAGGTCAGGGCACATGGTGAGAGGGATTTGGGGATCTCTGCAGGCTCTTGGGGCACCACAGGCCCTGCCAAGCCTCCTGTGTTGTAAACACACTCACACCACCTTCATAAGAGGAAATAGAGAAGAAAAGCATTTCATACATACTTCGTCTTTGCCTCTTGCCCTTCACCACCTTGCTGCTGCCTGTTGGATCCATGGAGCTCAGAAAAACCACCACCACAAGCAGTCCAAGCTGCATAGTAACTCTCCAGAGCTGCAGCCCCTCCGTGCTGGGGTGGCTGGGGGAGCGTGCTCCACAGCTGGGGGCTCTGCTGCCCCTAAATCCTCAGAGCTGAGAGTCTGTGCACAGAGCCAGGGCTGGCACCATATCCACGAGCTGCAGCAGCAGCAGGCAGCTCAGGTAGCAGGGAACATGGCTCTGCCTTCATCCCTGTCAGCAGGGCAGGAGCTCGGCCCCAGCGCTGTCCAGGGCTCAGCTGTGGGTGTTAGGGGCTCACAGTGTCCAGGGGTGCTGGCAGGAACTGCAAAAGAAGGGGAGAAATGGGTTAATTTGACAGACAGCAGCACTCCCATAACAGCTGGGGGTGAGCCCAAGGGTGTGGGGTGCACTGGGAGTGCTGGCAGGGAGTGGTGTGGGGAGAAGTGTGCTCCAGTCTCATCCATGAGTCCCTGTTACAGAATCACAGAATCCCTGAATCCCAGAATCCCAGAATCCCAGGATCACTGAATCACTGAATCACAGAATGAATCACAGAATTACTGAATCACAGAATCACGGAATCATGGAATCATAGAATCACAGAATCAGTGTATCACAGAATCTCAGAATCTCAGAATCACTGAATGACAGAATCCCAGAATCCCAGAATCCCAGAATCACAGAATCCCAGAATCCCAGAATCCCAGGATCACTGAATCACTGAATCACTGAATCAATCACAGAATTACTGAATCACAGAATCACAGAATCACAGAATCATGGAATCATAGAATCACAGAATCAGTGTATCACAGAATCTCAGAATCTCAGAATCACTGAATGACAGAATCCCAGAATCCCAGAATCCCAGAATCACAGAATCAATCCCAGAACCACAGAATCACTGAATCACTGAATCACTGAATCACAGAATCACAGAATCACAGAATAATGAGGTTGGAAGAGACCTCTAAGATCATCAAGTCCAATCTATGCCCTCACACCTCAGCCAGACTATAGCACCAAGTGCCATGTCCAGTCTTTTTATAAACACATCCAGAGATGATGATTCTCCCTGAGAAGAGCATCCCAGTGCTTTATTATCCTTCCAGTGAAAAACTTATTCTTAATATCCAACCTATCCCTTCCCTGACATAGCTTGAGACTAGTAACCAGTTTGAAAGCTCAGTGCATCTCTGCCATCTGCCAGTGCTGCAAACAGTAGTTATGGCTGGAACTTGTTTAAAACAGAGCCAGAGCCCTGGGCTGCCCTCCCCGAGAGGCAGATGGCTGCAGTGGGTGCCAGGCACACAAGATGTTTCCCATCAAGGGGGCACCTCTGGGGCTGGTAGTCGAGCGCAGCAGAGAGCCAGCCTGCTGTGTCTGGGGACGGGGTGGGATCCTCTGCCCAGAACTGCTGCCTTTCTGCTCGCAGGGAATTTCCAAACCTCCCATCTCCCGTTCATTCCCCGAGGCACAGGGCAGGGTCAGCGCTGCCTGCGCAGGGCTGGGAGCGGGAGCTGCTCTGCCCTGGGCTCACTGGCACAGACAGCCTGGTGTGGGGCAGAGGGAGCTTGGCGTGGGGCAGAGAGAGAGCTTGGTGTGGGGCAGAGAGAGAGCTTGGTGTGGGGCAGAGAGACTGGTGTGGGGCAGGGACAGCCTGGTGAGGGGCTGAGAGACAGCCTGATGTGGGGCAGAGAGAGATCCTAGTGTGGGGCAGAGAGAGATCCTAGTGTGGGGCAGAGAGCCCAATGTGGGGCAGAGATCCCAATGTGGGGCAGTGAGTCTAGCGTGGGGCAGAGAGCCTGGTGTGGGGCAGAGAATCCAATGTGGAGCAGAGAACCCAACATGGGGCAGAGAGAGCCTGGCTGTGAGTGCCACGCTGCCCTCACCAAGCTGTGGCACAGAGTGGCCCAGTGTGCTGGCAGGACAGAGTGATGAGATGGCAGCACCAGCAGCACAGGCTGGCACCAAACCAACAGCTCTGCATGAAATTCAGGAGAGAGAAGGAAAACCCAGCTGCCAGCCAAGACTCCACATCCTTTCGTGAGAGTGCCCAAAGCCTTGCTCAGCTGGCTCCTGACATTTTCCCTGTACTTTCCAAGTGTTTTTCCCTGTGCCCTGTGTAAGGAAGGACAAGCTCTATGCTGCACCAAGAGCTCTGGCACTGCCAAGCCAGCCCCACTCCTCTCTGCAGCTGGCAAAGCCCTGCCAATGGCAGACATTGTGCTGGAATGGAGGCGACAACATCTGCTCTGTGAAGTCAAACGGAACAGAAAATTGTTTTAATCCCTCTCTAATAACTGCGCAATCACCGATGCCCCAAACAACGGCTGGCGACAGCGCTGGAAGTGAGCCTGGACCCTGCCTGGCATGGTCCCCATGGGGCTGTCCCCTCCCTGCCCACCCTGCCTGGGGGACCTGCTGAGGGCCACTGGCACAGCACCCCCTGCCCCAGCCCATCTAAGGGGGGTTATGGCCTCCAGGTGTGGCCATAACCCTCTGGAGCAGAGCACCTGGAGGGAAGGGGCTGCCCCAGCAGCATTGGGCTGCTGTGACCTGGGAATTGCTGAGCCTTGTGGCACAAACACTCCTGGCTCTCACCTGGGCCACTGTCCCCCCATCCTGGTGGCTCTGAACTTTTCACTGAACTTTTCCCTGTCCCCTGTCCTGGTGGCTCTGAAGTTTTCACTGTGTGACCCAGGTTTTGCTGAGCCTTGTGGCTGCCGGTGGCACAAACACTCCTGGCACTCACCTGTGCCATTGCCACTGTCTCCCCACCCTGATGGCTCTGAACTTTTCCCTGTCCCCCTACCCTGGTGGCTCTGAATTTTTCCCTGTGTGACCCAGGTATTGCTGAGCCTTGTGGCAGCCCATGGCACAAACACTCCTGGCAGTCACCTGTGCCATCACCACTGTCCCCCTGGCCCTGGTGGCTCTGAACTTTTCCCTATCCCCCTGTCCTGGTGGCTCTGAACTTTTCCCTGTCCCCTGTCCCTGGTGGCTCTGAAGTTTTCACTGTGTGACCCAGGTTTTGCAGAGCCTTGTGGCTGCCGGTGGCACAAACACTCCTGGCACTCGCCTGTGCCATCGCTACTGTCCCCCCACCGTGATGGCTCTGAATATTTCCCTGTCCCCTCACCCCAGTGGCTCTGAACCTTTCCTGTCCCTCCATCCTGATGGCTGTGAACTTTTCACTCTCCCCTGGCCCTGGTATCTCTGAACTTTTCCCTGTCCCCCTCTCCTGATAACTCTGAACTTTTCACTGTCCCCCCATCTTGGTGGCTCTGAACTTTTCCTTGTCCCCCCACCCTGGTGGCTCTGAACCTTTCACTGTCCCCCTGTCCTGGTGGCTCTGAAATTTCCCTGTCCCCTCACCCTGGTGGCTCTGAACATTTCCCTGTCCCCTGTCCTGGTGGCTCTGAATTTTCCCTGTCCCCTGTCCTGGTGGCTCTGAATTTTCCCCGTGTCCCCGCTGTCCCTGCCAAGGCAGGAGCCCAGCTCTCACCATGTGCTTGTCATTACAGCCCACGGCTCCTCCGCAGGATTTTCAAATAAATAATTAGTCACTTGTGTAAACACCGACTTGTTCTGCACTTCCAAGCCTGTTTGCTGCAAGCTGCTTTATAAACACTGTCAAGTGCTCCAGCTGGGCTGGTGCAGTGTTCAGGGAGCTGAGCACAGGGGGATCCCCGCAGCTCCTCCACACTTGGGGGGCAGCAGGGGCAGTGAGATCCCTCGGACAGGTGCTGTGGGACAGTCCCCATGCCCAGCACAGCCACCTGTGGGGATGGCATCAGTGCAGCACAGCCCAGAGTGTCCCCAAGGAGCCACTCCGTGTTTAATTCCGCCGTGTTTACACAACACTCCCAGCGTGGGGACAGCCCCCAGCGTGGGGACAGCAGCAGGGATGGATGTGCTGAGGGAGCCAACACAGCCCCATGTGCCAAGAGCCAGCGTGAAACTCGTGGACCCCATTGCTGAGGGCAGCCAGGGCAGGGAGTGCCACGGAAACCTTGAGATTGCAGCACAAACCAAGCGAGCACACACTTCTGTCACAGACATCTTCTATGGAAAATCCTTTCCTTAGGATTTTTCCTCCTGAGAAGCTGAAAGGCCTCAGGAGCAAAATGTAAACATTGATTATCTGCTGCTGTGGAATGCAACAGGTGGATCTGGGATTGGCCTCATAGACTTGTTTGTAATTAATGGCCAATCACAGTGGGCTGGCTCGGACTCTCTGTCCGAGCCACAAACCTTTGTTATCATTCTTTCTTTTTCTATTCTTAGCCAGCCTTCTGATGAAATCCTTTCTTCTATTCTTTTAGTATAGTTTTAATATAATATATATATCATAAAATAATAAATCAGCCTTCTTAAACATGGAGTCAGATCCTCATCTCTTCCCTCATCCTCAGACCCCTGTGAATACCATCACACACTTCTCCCTCCTCTTTCCTTGCTTTCTAGCCCAAAAGGAGCCCGGGCTTGGCCACAGCTGCTGCCTCAGCACAGAAAGGCACTCTAGGTGCTGTCTTTGAAGGTCACACACAACGCACAGGTCTCCCAATCCCCCCACGAGCACTGGGGGTCTGTGGGGAGCTGTCTGGCTGGGCTGCCTTCCCCACCCTCCCTGCAGGACACGAGTTATGGTTCCTTCTGTTACTGCAGCCATCAGTCAAGCTCAGGTTGCTACAAGCAATTTCCAGTCTAAACATTCGCAGGATTTATGCCATTATCCAATCTACAGGAAGAATTTGGGGTAACCTGAATTGTTCTGAGTTCATTTATGGAGAGACCTGGCCCCTGGATGTGAGATGGCACTAAGCCTTGTTTGCAATTCAATCAGGATAAATTGGTCCTTGGGAGCTGCAATACAAACCAGAAAATGTAAACCATGCAGATAATTTGCCATTAGTCCTCCTCCACACAAGGTGAGAAAGACCAACATTATATCCCCAGGATATTTGAGACCTAATCCACAATAACTAAATTGCTGATATATTGCCTCTTGCTGAACCTACCAGGGATCCCAAATGTAAACAGGCTCTCCAAAGGTTTACTGAGCCTTGCAGAGAAGGACCAGATGCTGGAGGCAGGACAGACCTGGTTAGAGCAGGAATGAACCCCTGGGAGCTGCCAACAGCCCAGCTGTGAGCTGGGGAATTTGGGTTTGCAGGAGAGGCATGGAGAATTTGAATTTCCTCTGTGTGAATGTGCTCAGAGTGGCTTCATGCAGGAGGAGTCAGGGTTTTGCAGGGGTTGTTTGGTCCCACATCTCCCAGTCCTACACCAGGGGACAGGACTCCCCACCCTGAGGCC